AGCATGATAAAAATCCCATTTTGTGTCATGCTTACTGATGGTTCCCTTGTGGATATTCAGGACAGAAAATAAATGGTAATTTACTTCTATGAATACTAAAGATAATTAAAAATGCAAAAACTGATTTGACCTTATGAACAATTAAGTCCTTGTGCAATAAAACTCAAAAAGAAAAAGAAGCCACTACAACAACAGAGTTAACCATTGTAAAGAGATCAGAACAGAAGAAAACATAACTCAATGTTTTTTATTGGGCCACATCTAACGTATAATATGAACAAAACAACACTCAATTGCTATTAAACTTCAGTGCATTTGCATTGAAAATCTGTTTCCACAGATGCAAATCTGTGTAACCAAATTCTGTGAAAATGAATTTTGGAGGCTTTTCTTTTTCCCAGAGAAAGCTAATTTGGTAGGAATGATTTTGAGGATAACCTTTGAATACGGAGTCTTTGTGCATAGATGTAATTTAACCCAATTTATGCTCTAAATTGGCCTTTAGGAATCAAACCACTTAGTGATTCAAACATTTATTATTAAGTTACGATGCTCAGTATTATGAAATCACAAGACATTGCACTTAAGTATTTGCAAACACAGGACAAATACTACTTCACTAAGACCTAAGCTTTTTCAAACTTAGGTGTAATCCTTGATATGAGTGCACAGGATTGATATATACACTAGCAATTCTAAATATATATTGAATGCTTTAAGGCTTAATCAGTCATTTCAAATGCTATTCATTGCAAAGTGATTTCAGTATTATGTAAATTTTCAAGGAATAAAACTGACATTTCATATTATGCAATTCAGCTATCTGGTATACAATACCAGTAGAAATGATTTTTTTAAAGTTATGAAGTTTTACTATATTAATATTTGTAGATTCATATTTTTTCATTTTTAAAACACACTTGTTTCAAGTGTATTTCATTCTTTCCATTACATAACAGAAGAAGAAGAAGAAGAAGAAGAAGAAGAAGAAGAAGAAGAAGAAGAAGAAGAAGAAGAAGAAGAAGAAGAGGAGGAGGAAGAAGGAAGGAGAAGTAGGAAGAAGAAAAAGAGAGTAGGAGGAAGACGAGGAGGAGGATGAAAGGAGGAGGAGGAGGAAGTAGGGAAAGAAAAATCCTGAATGGCATTCTGAGGGAACATAAACCACCAACATATAAAATAGCACATTGATATTACTCATTTTCTTCAAGTTATGAATAGAATAATGGAAATCAAAATTAGTATCTTACCTTTTGTCACGCCCTGGAGCAACAGCCAGTACTCTTGATGCCCGTTGTAACAGAAATTTCATTATGACTGTTATTATTTTCTTTTTTTAAAAAAATGATGATTCTGGCTATTCTTTAATAGCACAGATCATATGTTACAATCTCAGTTAATAAAGTGACTGCATTATCTGATACTAAAATCTCTTGCCTGAACGTTATTTATGGCATATGTGGGGAGAAAATTATCAAAGTTCAAAATGATCTGAGGCTTTTCTAATATTTTCTCACAGTGATTCAAGTTTTTTTAAAAAAATATTCATTTTAGCCATTTTATCTACACATGTCAAAGTTTGTTTTTAAATGAATATTGAATGTACAATTAATATTTCAAAATTAGTCTCTCTCAAGTGAATCTATTTCTATTGAATAATGTAGGCCAAATATTTAACAATGAAGCAAGTATGTGTGTGTGGATCCAAGTGGCTAAACAGACATATAAACAAAAATAAATGGTTTTCAAGCTGGCTGAAAAACAATATATGCAAGGCTAATACAAGTGGTCCTTGACTTACAATCATTCGTTCGGTGACTGTTTGAGGTTATAATTAAGGGGAGAGGAAATAATAAAATATTAAAATATTTTAAGTATACAAGCGGAAAAATGATATAAGAGGAACTAATATTAGAAATAAAATGTAAACAGAGAAGTTACAACAGCACACAAAAAGTGGCTTATGACTTTTTTCCACACTTGCAACCATTGCGGTTTCCCTGTGGTCACATGGTCAAAATTTGAGCGCTTGACAACTGGCATGTCTTTATGACAGTTGCAGTGTCATGGGATAATGGGATCACCTTTTGAGACCTTCTGACAAGCAAAGTCAACGAGGAAGCCAGCTTCACTTAAGAACCATGTTACTAATTTATCAAACACAGTGATTCATTTAACAATGGTGGCAAGAAAGGATGTAAAATGAGATAAAACTCACTTAGGGACTGTCTTGTTTAGCCAATTTTGTACTCAATCAAGGACTATCTGTATAGATTCTTTGCATGGAAGGACAGTTAAATAAATATAAATGCATCTATAGCATATAATTATTAACAGAAACTTTATGAAAACAGTTATTTGATCAAAATATTTGATTGAAAAAGAATTTGGCCCCATTGCTACATACTTAGGTGAGATGAACAGCCATATAAATCAAACAAATTGAATCAATCTATAAAAAGACAATCTATTTTTTTAAAAAAAAAATTAGTGGGAATTTGCATCCGAAGAAAAATAATTTGCTTCCAAATCTTAGTTTCAATCCCTATCAGGGGTGTCAAACTCATGGTGTCATGGCGTCGTCACGTGACATATTTGGACTTTTCCCCCTTCGTTAAACTGGGCGTGGGTGTGGCCAGCACATGACTCATCTGGCCCACAGAACATTTGACAGCCCTGCCTTATATTATAGTAATAGTTTTTCTCTCAGATGGAGATGCCATAGGAACTGGAAAGTGGGAAATGGTTAAATAATTTGAAATAATATGACTCCAATAGATGTTTTGAAGCATATATCTAAAATAGTTACAGCAATGGGGAATAAAAAGAACCAGATCTTTGGGGTGATACAGACTGCAAACATCTGGGTTAGTTTTGCCAATTAAGCTCTTTGATCATAATCTTATATGGTGAAGGGCAAATGGTGAAGCTATTAGTTACATGCTATTTCATACATATCTACATAATTTACACCTTTTTGCTTCTAATGTGTACCAAAGTCTTCCTAGACAATTAGTAAGCAATTCCTAGAATACCTACCAAGCATGTTAGCTGGTAGTTTATTAAGATAGCACCCTAATCCAGCCTGTGCCAGGCATAAAGAACATTAATTTTAGGTTCAAACACACAGCCGCATCATGTGGAGAGAATTAAAGAAATAGTAACTCTCTCTTCTTGTTGAAATCAAGATGGCAGAACTGAAGTTTTAGACCAGCCTTCCAAAACTTTAATAATGACTCCATCTCTGTGTTCTTTTTAATCTTTCATAACATTCTACCACCATCATCATATGGAATGCAAAGGATGCTAGCATGCATAAATCACTAAAGATTTGACAAATTGAATCACAATGGGATTATTTTTAAAATTCAGTTTTAAGAGTTCAATTTTTGGAGAGAGGCTGGGAAAAAACAGGGCTGCCATCTACCCATCACTGTTTATAATGGCCAAAAATGGACACTTTCCACCTGATTGGTCATCTCTGAATTTATGCTGTCAGAACACAGAATTATGTTAGCTGCCTTAAAAAAATGGCAGTCGTACAAATTTTATTTATTCATACATTCAATTTCTATAGCTGCCCATCTCAAACAAGTGACTCTGGATGGCAAAAAATAAAAATTAAGTTAAAAGCAATTTGCAATTGTGCAAATAGAATTCTTAACATATATAATTCAAGAAGTTTGATTTAGTGTAACATACAATGTAATGGAATTATGTTATCTTTCCATATCATTCCAATAAAATTAAGTGTGCAGAAATAAGCACAGAATTGCAGCCTTTTGTTAACTATATTTCTATAGCCTTAGCATTGGGCTACTAGGAGATTTCTATTATCCTTAAAAATTCATCCACTAATGGATAAAAATACATAGTATAGAAGAAACAATGTGTATTAATGAAGTTTCCACTTTGGTTGTATAACTATGTTTGTTTAGCATAAAAATGGAGAAAGACTGTCTTTGCAGTTTTCTTAAAAATAGGTCTAGACATTCCTCATTATGGTTTGCTCTGCTGTTTGCACATGGTGCTTCATGAAATGTCATTTGGGGCAATTCTAACCCTCTGTAGATGAGGGTTTGTCTTAGGAAAACAAATATACTGGCCACAATAGAAAGACTGTATCATGGGTAGAACTACATTATTTGTTATGGCAGTTTTCCAATCCATGCAAAAGTTTTTCTAATAGTAATTATTTCCTGTTGTGGTAATAGTAATTAATTACTGTAAAAATAGTAATTATTTGCAATGGCAATTCTTTTGCCTGAAATGGCGCCAAAGTCATGGAAAAAATATGAGTTTTTTTAAATCATATTAACTGCTAACTTCTATTAGTATTGTAATTTTAATTTTTAAATACTAGTTTTATTGTTAATAAATTTTCTTGATTTTGAATTGCATTAATGCAACTCAACATTTTTGAATAAAGAAGTTGCATTGAGTTGTCCAAATGCAACTTCTTTCTCTCAAAAACATTTCCTAGAACCTTTGCCTATCTGCAATGAAGAGTAGCTCAACTACATTATTACTCCTCTAAAAACATGATTTGCATCTTCTTCTACATGCATTTTTTAAAGCGAATATTGAAATAGTATCAGATGAAGCAGTCACCATTATGACCTAAACTATATACTTTTCACACAAAAAAGTATAGTAGAAAAGAATATACAGTACCTGTGATTTCTATGCAGTATCAAGACTGCCTTTAAGAATATTTCCCAAGACAGCAGAAAGCTACTGAAATATGTTTTCAATTCTTCCTGTTCCCTGGACACTTGTCTGTGAAGCCAGGGAATAAAATAATTCATTTGTCCCTAGAAATATCTCTCTCAGACACATACATATCTTACAAACAATACAGATGCACACTATTTCAACATCTAAGTTCTTGTTACCAATACATTTTTAATAAAAAGAATCGTTTATAAAACATCAAATAAATAATGTTAATTTCTTTCAAATAGACATATATAGAACAAAATGAAACTTGAGGGAAAACTTACTGGCGTTACAGTTTATCCTGATACAGTCTAGATGGGGAAAAATAAATGAAAGATGAAATTGCATCCTTCAAGGTAACAGCTGCAGACATCCAAAAACAATCAGTCCACCCTTCCGGGGACAGACACACGCAAAAAAATGTGGCCATTTTATATTTATGTACATTCTCTAGAAGTACAGGAATGTCTCTGCACTTATTTACTACAAAAGTCTCAGAACCACAAACTCTTCCCATTTCCCTGCTTCTGTTTACGTGTTTCTGGTGTGTGTGTGTGTGTGTGTGTGTGTGTGTTTGTGTGTGTGTGTGTGTGTGTGTACATATGTGAGATACTTGCAGAAAAGAACTATAAATTATATACCTTTCCTTGGCAATATGTTTTTAAGAAAAAGATGTTATTTCGAAAAATACTTGAGTGATTCTAATCAAAAACTAGGTAAACATAGTTTACATGTTATTAAAGCACAGACATTTTCCCATAAAATGCGAGGCTTTCTCCCAAATGGTGCATATTTTTAGTCCTTTTAGGATATTTTTACATATTTGGATGCCTAAAAGCAAATTTTACAATGTTTCATTGGAATGGTTAGTGTATCTATGTAAATGCATTCCTGGCTTTAGCTTGTAAATATTTAGTAATGCAATATTTAGCCCTTTCAATGTATACTCATTTCCTGTGCGATAACTTAAAATGTTTTGCAGAAAAATGTATATTGCCAAAACTTTTCATGCTGCAGAAAGGGATAACATATTGCTCCTTGTCACCATAAAATGGCCACTTGCAAACTGCTAACCGCACGAACGCCCAGCCCAGATTTCACTGCATTTTGGAGAGTTCTTTTTTTTTTAAATTGGTTGGAGAGGGTTGATACAAAAACAGCCAGCCAGCCCTTCAGAGCCCTGTTTCACCTTGCTGCCTGAATATTAGAATTAAATGAAGCATCTACAACATTCTGGAAGAAGATGAAATAGGCAGTGCAGTGGCAGATCTGATTATCTTTGACAACCCCCTGCGCTTCACTCATATGAAACTACAAGTCAGAGAAACCATAAACAAATTTTAAAAAACTACAGTGACACATGCATTTATTTGTGCCTGTTAAATACGCATTAATATTCTAACAAAAAAGTATAATTTCAGCTGTTGTTTTGACCACTCGTAGACTCTTTTGAGCAAAACATAAGCTTCACAAACTTGAGCACAAGATTAGAAGCATGATACCTCCTTTAATGCTTAGAGTGAGAACATATTATTTGAAAATAAGTGTTGCAACATATTGCCATTGTATTCCTATGACAAACTGCTGCTCACAGTTAATGCTAAGAGCCACTTCTCCATATATTGAACTATATCATGTTAAAAAGATTCCACTGTTCATTGGCCAAAAATTTGGTCAATCAAGGTTGACCTCTGGCTCAATTAAAATATTTAAAACTAGCTATGCTAAACTTAGAGGTATTTTTCCTCTAAAATTAGAAAAGGAACATGTCTAATTAATAGCATAAAATTAATATTTATAAAGAGGGGCAGTAAACAAAAAAATCTGAGTGATCGGGAAAAAGAAAACATCCAGAAGTAATGATGCTACAGAGTGTATTTTCCAGCATATCTTCTCTTAAGAAAATATGGGTTTGGTTTCGTGCGATTAGGTTTGTCATGTGTCGTCAACCGCAACAGAAAAGTGGGAGCAAACAGCCCTTGAGCATTTAGTACGATCACCATACAGGAGTGGCTATATCCCTTTTTTAGATGTGTGCTGGTAAGTGCAATAAGGGGGAAAAATCCCCAATACTGAGTGCCAAGAAGATTTAGAGAAGGAGAGAGAGAGAGAAGGAATGACAAAACACTAGAGATCGTATCTAAAAGACTGATTATACTTGAGAGATGTAAAATATAATGTAGATTGGATTATATTCTCTTAAGTGTCTGAAATTTCATTTGAGATATGTATTCACATTTTAGAAACTTAGACTGTCACAATTGTTCTGAGTTACTTAAAGTGTCCTCCTACTTCTGAACATGTACATTTATAAACCCAGTCTTTGGGATTTGCTGATTATTAATTGTTTTGACATTTTTTATGTTTGTTTTCCCCATAGTACCTATGGCTCACTCTCCACACTCTTGTTTACCATACATGAAGCTGTTAGGTGAGGTCATCTGTTATAAGGGAATATACTGATGCTTTATATCTTTACCCTGGGCTGATCAAGTGATGCCATGGAGCTCTGTCTTGATGTTTATAGCCCATGGAGTGTTGGAAAGAATAATGTTTAGGTCAGTTATAACAAAACCAAATCGTTCTGGAATTTAGGGCTTCTGGTGACTTCCTATCTCTAGATTGGATTGTACTACCCAAACAGAGCCACTGAATTACACACAGCTCTCATGTGAAGAATAGGTGGCAGCCTTGGCCAAAAGAACTTTTACAAAACTTTGTGTGCCACACTTTTAGCAGAGTCTCTTAGTCCAACAAAGAGACTCTGCTAACAGTTTCACATGCCTTAGTCACATCCCAAATGAACTACTGTAATACAGTTTACATGGGACTGCCCTTAAAGAACATCTGGGAGCAGCAGTTGATTGAAAATGGCAGTGTGAACAATTATAAGTGATCCTCTGCCTTCATGTTACTTCTTTGCTTCATGAGCTCCTTTGATTACCAGTATTCTTCTAAATTCAATTGATGGTGCTTATGGTCACTTATCAATCCACTCATGGAATGGGACCAAGTTATCTATGGAGTCATCCCTTCCCTATCTTTTCTATCTCTTCTTTTAGATGCAGGAGGAGAAGCAAGGAATACCTTCATAGGAAACCTAGAATTTTCTATTTTGGTACCTGACCTTTGGAACATTGTTCCTCAAGAGAATGATCAGCCTTTCATGAGGCCCTGAAGACATGCTTAAGTTTCTGAGTATGGAAGCTGGATTATTGGTTGAACCTATGATATAGTTATTGCTGTTTGATTGTTTGTTTGTTTTTAAATCTTGGCTGCCTGTTGTGTATCTTATTTTCTCTTGTTTTTTGCATTTTAACTTGTTGGCGACTTAGAATTTCCATTTGGTCATATAAATTGAATAAGTAAACAAATATATGAGCAATCAATAGCTGGATACATTTCTGTCCTGTCTGCCTATAAAAAACAATAAATTGTTGAGTGACCTTTAAAGATGAAACTCTGACATAGTGCAGTTCCAATCGGATAAAGAAGAAGACTGAGAAGGATAAGGACTGTTTTATAATGTGATTGGCCATGTTCTAACTCTAAGCATGTGCTAATCATGGATGAAACTCTGGCTCATTGAATTTTCTTTCTCTGTGTGTCTCTATCTCTCTGTCTTTCTGTGTGTATCTCTCTCTCTCTCTTTCTCTCTCTCTCTCTATCTCTCCCTCTCTCTCCCTCTATCTCCCTCCCTCCCTTCCTCTCTCTTTCTTCTCTATCTTCTCAACAGTAGTGTTAGAAATATGACATATAAACTTTTAATTTTTCCAGAGCTTAATGTGTTGGCAGAAAATCCAACTATCCCACAAGAAACACATACAATTTTCTTAAAGAAGCAGTCTTAACATATGAGAGTCTCTTCCCTCCCTCCTTCTTCAATCAAATCAACCACATTCTCCTTTCTGATTCTTTTTTGCTAAATAGGGCTGTAATGAAGAGAGGGATATGGCAGCCCTTGCAGGTTTTTCTGTACACTCTGTTCGAAGGGCTGTTTGCTGTGCGGGCCGCAGGCTTCAGGCCTTTGAAGGGTTGAATACCATCTTTTGATATACCATGATTGATGGGACATAAAGAAGTTTTTACAACGTCGATACATAGTGTGAAAAAGATCACAGAAAAAGGGTTAGAAACATGAAATGAAATTAAGGAGAAAAGCTGAGGTGAGGACAAGCAAAATAATGTTTGCTACCATTCAAAACAGACTTTGCCATTGTATTTCTGGCAAGAAAAAATGGTTCAGATTCCCAGGTAATCTAAATCAACAATATATTTATAAATTACCATTCTTCACCACTGTTATCAAATGTGGAATTGTTACTGATAAGCAAGGCTTAGATGTTGGCTCACTTAGTGCAATAATGTTTCAGAACTCACATTGCCACTAAGGTTTGAAGAAATCTTTCCTGGACTTCTTGGACTTGAAATGAATTTCTAAACAATATCTCATATTTGACTTCTGTGTCTAGCACTTTTTTGGGGAAGGGTTAAGATGACATCTGAAAAGGTTTTACACCTTTCTTACTTCATAACTAAGCTTCTGTTCTGAAAGTCAACTTCAGAATATTCATGACTGCAATAAAGTTGGAGAGATACTGCAGTGACTACAAGCAAAGCATAGTTGATGTGATATTCAGGCTTACTAGAATTTCTTTTGCTTACTAAAGGCAGATAAAACTTCATTCTGGGGCCTTTCTAACATGAAAAAGTGATTCAAAAGTCTAGTCATAAATCTTTAAAAAGGCCATGTTAGACTTATTAATTGCATTTCAAAAATGTAGTTGCTTATGAAATAGCTTAAATAGTGCCAGATGATATGTGCATGATACATGTCCTTGAGAGAAGAAACATGTTTCTGCTAAGGGAACGTTCTTTATCTTATGTGTTTACGACTGTTAGATACAAATAATCATTTCAGAACTGATTTTTAAAAAAGGCCAGAGGTTGTTACTATTGTTATTTCTCTGTTAGAGAAATGCTTACATTGTTTTCATATCTATCTATCTATCTATCTATCTATCTATCTATCTATCTATCTATCTATCTATCTATCTATCTATCTATCTATCTGCTGCCTTTATTATTTTTACAAATAACTCAAGGCAGTGAACATATCCACATATCTTACTCCTCCTATTTTTCCCACAGCAACCACCTTATGAGTGGGTTGGGTTGAGAAAGAATGACTGGCCTGAAGTCAGCCAGATGACTTTCATGACTAAGACATGAATTCATGGTCTCCTGGCTTTCTAGCCTGGTGGCTTAACCACTAGACCAAACAATCCCTTATGCATCTGGATGTAGGAAAGTTCTTAAATAAGATTTTATTTCACCCCATCTTGCTATTTTGCAGTTAGATGTTTTAGAAAATTAGAAGTACTAAGTCATAAATCCAACATCAGAAAATCTGACGGAAATTCTGAGGCTATAACACAGTTTTTCAAATAAAAACTGAAGAATGTGAAGCAGTGACACCAGCTGGTTCTTTTTTAAAGCAGAGAACTACAAGAGAACAAAAGGTGAAAAATTTAACCTTTTGGAAGACAAATATTAACTAAATCATGGCTCTTTATCTTTTCATGGTGAGCCATTTTTGAGCAGCAAACAAAATCATTTATTTTCCAGGAAACTAATTTTATGAAATTCCTCAAATTACAATCTCAACAGAAAAAAATAACCAAATGAAACAATATCATACCAGAAGAAAAAGAAGCTATCTCTATCCCAAATTATTCTCTTTCCCTTCAGTTAAGAACACTGAATGAAACGATAACAACTTCTTCCAAAATGTCTTAACAGAAATGCATTTCTATTGGATTTTTTGGAGACAGGAGTGGGCAAGAGGAGGTTTCTGGATATTTATTTATAAGTTAGTCTCTGTTGGTGCTTTTTTGAAATGGATATTTTTAAGCCTTAAATTAAGGATTATTCCTAATCTCAGGAAGCAGCAAAGATGACATTGGAATGTTTGATATATAAAACCCTAGCTTGTTAAAGGGTAACAGTACAATCAGAACATTTCATCTATGGCTCTGTCATTGTCTTCATAACTTATTTTTGACTGTTTTGAATAGTAGCAGAGAGGCTGGATCAATGAGGATGTGGTTGATCAAAAGATGGACCAAACAGCATGTCTTACACAAAACTAACCAGTTTAAGAACAAGAAAGGAAGCTTTAAAAAAGACTTTAAAACAAAACACATTATCCATAACCAGGAAGCAACATAAAATCTGCATGCAGTGATGGCTGGAGAAATTCTCCGTGATTAATATTATTATTAAAAAAAAATACTTTAGCAGAATTATAATTCAACTCAACCAGATCAAGGGGAGGATGGAAGGGAGACAGACAAGGAAACAAAACAAGCTGAAATTAAAAGCCAAGTGATGGGCTGGGGGTGGGGACTTTGCACAATACCTAGATTGACCATGAGTTTGACCCGGCCTCCATCTAGTTCAAGTCGTAGTGTATCGGCTGAATCACGTGATGTTGTGGCCATCAGCAGACCATATGCACGCTGGGACATGAAGCGGAAGGACACATCCTCAGCCTCTGTATGCATGACCATAGGCATAACAATTTTCATATACATGCTGCCATCATAACTCAGGATGGAGGCCTCTGAAGAAGAAAAAAAGATCAATAAAACAAATTACAATAGTTTTAGCCATTTCACATCTTGGAGGATTATTAATTATTTAATACTTTAGATACATTATTTAATGATTGCATGAAAGTGGCTCACATTTTCATAAATATTATTTCACTATATTATTCAAATAACAAAAATTCCCTGGGTATTGTATATTCATTTGAAAATATCAAGAGTGAAACTACCTTAAAACAGTAGAAAAAGAACAGTAGAAAATTGTATTAGAGATAAAACCAGTGACTACAATAATGGCAATCAATCATCATAAAGTAACTCCACTTGAAGCAAAATACATTCTTTCATTGGCAAAATTCCTTGAAAAAGGCCTCACATTAAGATCTTAGTAACATGATACATTAATTTGAGTAGAAAATATCTTCTGATATCATGGTTTCATAATATTTATCTATCTAACAATTGCTAACTTTATATTAATTGACTGGCTGATTTATACATTTATACCAACTATAACTTTAGACATTTTCTAACCATAGTTAATGTAAAGTATGTTCAAAACATGTACCCAAAACCACTTGTTAAATCTGACCAATTCAAAATAGGGATACTTAATGTATTAATCTTAAATATGCACATACTCTTTGCCTAACTCTCCACTTCCACATCCAGCAATAGGTGAAAATGGAGAGTCCCGATTACTAACTTACTCTGTCAGAGAGAGCGGAACCATTTCTACAATACAATGATCTGTAATTCAACAACAATCTGTAATTCAATTGAAGTTTAGTTTTTTACTGATCATCAGGAGCATTGATCAAGAGCAATTACAAAGACATTAATTGTTTCTTGTAATTGGATAGCAAAAGTCAAAGAAGATGGAAGTTATCAGCATTTTGAAGGTACTCGATTCTAATATATTATGTTCAACTTATACTTTGAAGCATTATGTGGAGATCTATCTCCTCTTAGAAATCCATAATGTTGGGAAAAGTAGAACAAACAAGTACCATCAGCAGTAAAGTGGATGGATTCAAACACAACAGATGGATTAATAGGAGACCTAAAAAATCCAGACTGGGGACAGATCACCCTGCAGATGTTATGTTATGTAAGTGTTTAATGTTGACATCAACTTGATAGCAATCAAATAATTAGTGGACGGGTAAGGTGCAGGATCAGATTTTGTGACATGTGGATGTTATTCCAGGTTGTTGGAAAAGCTATGTTTTCTTCTCAGAGTTTCTGTTGTGGTAAGCAAAGCACAGTAAGTTTAATAATACTACTTCCAGATGCTGGTGGAACCCAATGTTCTCATATTAGACATAAACCTATTTGCTGCATGTACCGAATAGAAACACACAGGCCTCCTTGGTTTTGCTTTGGATTCTATTAGACTGTGCAGTTAAGCATGAAATGGCACTTTCTGACACCTTTAGTTCAAATGTGACCTGCATGAAATAGTCCCTATGCTAGTGTGTGCATATGCATTCATTGCTGATAAGTGTCAGAGTAAGCAAAGGGAATGCTGTCAGAGCATACATGAATTAACCCGCATAAGAGGGATCAGATACTTCCCTTCTTTAGGTGCAATAGGATATATTGCATGGTAGAAGCATTTTGTAATTAGCAAGAACTTTGCAGATATAGAAATCTGAAATGTTTGCTTTTCCTTAAAGAGAAAAACAATACAAATAGCATTAGAAATTTAGGATTAATTTCAGTGGTAAGCATATCTGAAATCCAGAGATATTAGGATACCCAATTGGTTCACCCCCACAAATGTGCTGAAATTTCAAATCAATTCCTAAAGTTCCTAATAGTTATGAAATATATGAAGGCTGATATAAATTTATATGCATAGAAAATAAGCAACCTGAAATAATAAGTCCAGTATAGGTTCCTTTCATGTTTTCCTCTCTAAAATATCAAAACAGTCTGAGTATGACCCACAGTTATCTTCACCACACTTAACTTAACCATAATGAGAACAAGGACCAAGCTACAGCAGGTTCTGCATTATCAGCAACAATATCCAAACGCACAAAAGCACGCAACCACACACCACAACCCATTTTATATGAAAGAGAAAATAAATTACTTGCTTCAGGTTGCATTTATTTTTCTGTCTGTCTCAAAAAGAAAAACCCAAGGATTTCCTAGAGGAGGAATTAGAAGTTCAAAATTCATCACAACAACTTTTCCCTTGTAAATACTTACTACGATAGAGCACATTCAAAAAATCAGGCAGGTATCACTTCCCTTAAATGATGAAATTACTTTTTCACAAATTTCACAGAAAGTTTGTAGCAACTTCAAGCATACCAAAAGTGAACTGGAAATTCAGTTATATTAGGATGCCAGACTGTAACAAGGAAACATAATCCCAGGGGAATCCCAGCAAGGAGGGAAGGAATGAGAGAAGGAGAGAAGAAAGGAGGGAAGGAAGGAGGGAAGGAGAGAAGAAAGGAGGGAAGGAAGGAGGGAATGTAGGAGAGAAGGAAGGGGGGAAGGAAGGAGGAAAGGAAGGGGGAAAGGAAGGAGAGAAGGAGAAAAGAAGGGGGTAGGAAGGAGGGAGGGAAGGAGGGAGGGAAGTAAAGATGTCAGGAACTGAATTTCACTTCTGGCTTAATGACGTATTGTCCTACGTGTTAAATGTTTGTTTCCCCCCCCTTTTTTTCGAGTTGTAAGCCGCCCTGAGTCCCCCCAGGGAAAAGGGCGGCATATAAATAAACTTCTCAATCTCAATCTCAATCTCTTAATCACTTTTTGCTTTTCACCAGAGAATACAAAAAAGCCTGTATGCAATCAAACCAATGGAAATTATTCATCTTCTGAACACTCTCAGATATGTCCGTAATTATGCAGTCAATAATTAATAAAATAATTATAATTCACAAGATTATCTCTTTATTTTTTAAAAAAAAACTTCATATTTATTACTTTTTTATGTTGTCGCTATGTGTTAACCAAGCCATACTTCAGGCCCCATGAATCAAGAAAGATATGTGAAGTTACTTCTGAGCAGTTTCCTTTATTATTCCTCACTTAAAAAATAGAATTATTGCCAAACTAAAGCAACTATTTGTGTCACTATAGATATACTCTACTACTGAGAATTGCTAGGGAGGTGCCTTCTTAACTCTCAATTTCCTGACTGAACTGTCTAAACTTCACAGTGTGTTTGCCCTCTTGAATGTGGCCCCTCCCTCCTGGGAATCCAGACTACAATCCACCACACAATGAAGTATTGATTTCAAGGATCCTATATAACACTAGGAAGGCCACTTCAGAATAAAAAGGAGAGAAGCAGAAGAAAAGAGACATTTTTCAAAGATGTGAAAGAGTAGAAAACAGAATTCAAGCAGATTGGGGAATGGATAAAAAATATCCAGAAGCATTGGGAACCAGCATCTATATCAAGAATAAATTCCAGCATCACATCTAAACATTTATCACCCCAGGAAGTCTTAACAAGCCAAGTGAGACATAGATTTAACAGTTGGCTATGCTAAGAGTCCCAAAGACACTATCCACTTCTCAGGAATCACAGGATCAAAAACTTCTCAGGTAAAAGAACAAGACAGAGCCTAAGTCAGCTTAATCAGACCTGCTCAGAACCTACTCAAAATAGATCTGATTCTTTTCTGACACTACCTTCCTCTGTCACCCTCAGAAAATCAGTGTTATGGTAGAGAAGAACAAGAAGCAATTTAATCACAAACATGTCATATTTGATTAGTTGACAGATAAAAAGCTAAAGGAAACTGTTTTGCCTTTTCCTAACGCATGACCATCCAAATCTCCATAATTAATAAGCAGAGGCATGAAAAGTGTCTTCATTGTCATATACAAGATGATTATGCTGAATATATATAAGATGAACTTGATTCACACTTCCTAAGTGAATACTGTATGCTTTTTGGAACATAATTCTTTATCCAGCCAATTGCTGGTAAAAGTTATTACTAGCCCAGACACGCAAAGGAGCAGAGGCCACAGCCTTACTGAATCTCAGCAAGTACACAGGAGAGCACTCAGGTTCTTAAATCCAACTTCAAATGTCAGTTTAACATTTGTAGAACTGTATGAAACTATTTTGAGACAAAATCTTGATAAGAAGGTCAGCACTGGAAAAGCACTGCTTAAAGTCAGCAAATCTAATGGGAAGAACTCCATGAGGATGCAAGCTAAATTTATTGTCTCAAGGATCAGTTATGTATATAAGGTTTTACTTTCTTTCGTCTTTCAATATCTTCGTATTCTGCCATTTGATGTAGCAAATAAAACAATTAAAAAACATGACTTAGCATCCATTCAATTATAAACCCAGCACATGCAGATGTTCTCTTACGTTGATTTGTTATTCACTTTTTCATTATGGTATTCTTAATGAGCCATTCTCTGCACTATTTTTCCATGTTGGGCTGAATACATATTCTGTATCCAGAACAATATATTTTGTTGGAGCTTTCTTTTGGTCTTTATTTAGGTAGAGCATTAGCCCTATAAAACATCATTTGTATAATAAGGCAACTCCATTTCAGTGATGCTGAAACTGACTTAACTTAACACAGCAGCTGAACATAGTTTTTATCTAAGTGTAGAGTGAAATACTGGATTTTGAATCATTTTGAACTAGTTTGCTTAAAAATCTATATGTCTTACACGAAGTAACAAGAGTTGTGGAACTGAATGTCAACAGTATTTTACCTTTTATCCATGCAAAGGATCAATGTCTATTTTGTTATGACATCCTGAACCATATAACACGTTGAGTTTCCTTGATTGATTCTCCACTACTTAGTCAATATCCTGCTTTCTCTTTCCTTGTTCATAATTTTATTTATATTCAGATTTCAAGAAAAGCATTTTTCTAGATTTCTGTTTTAAATTCCAGTTTGGCATCCAAGTGCTAAGGAATTTCTAAACATAACTAAAGGGTTTAAGCACAGGAATTTCTAAGTACAGGTAAGCCTGACATCAATCCATGTATAAACTGTAGAGTTTTCAC